ACTGAAAGAGAAGAACCCATTTCGAAAAAGATGAAGATCTTCGTGGGTTTCCAATAAAAATGATAACTTTGTAATTTAAGTTTAAGCATTTTGACGAATTTCTTCTGCCGTTTCTTTTTCTCTGCCCTGTTTCATCTCATGTTGTTTTTTGGTGCGTCCAATGTAATGTTTTTTAGTTTAGTACAACACTACACATGTTTTTTTTTTTCCGAGTTGAGTTTTTGTCGGCATTTTTAGCTTCATGTTTTGTTTATGAATATTTGATTTTCGATTTGTGTTGGAATTAATAAAGTTTTTTTGGGTTGAGTTTTATGTGATTTTTTTTGACAACACGCACGTATTTATTTATTTCTAAAATAAAAGTTCATCATCTCTTCTACCTCTTAGATAAATATTGTTCTGTCTATTTATTGTATTAGAGATTTTTGTGGATGGTAATTGACATATATCTCAAATTAAAAAGTTGTAAGTTTGAATTTCCACCCTGACATTTCGTATTAAAAAAAAATTCAATACATGATATAATTAATTCATTTTCTTCCAAAACTATTTTGCTTATTTGATTGAACCTGATCTCCATTAGGAGGGTTTGAACCAAGTGGAATCAACGACGGAGATTTATATAAAATTGCAACAAATATGATTTTGGATAAATACTTAAATGAAAAATCTAAGCTTTGAAATTTGGAGGATGGAGTGTTATGGATGTTTTTTTAGTACAAAGATTAATCAGTTAAAATATGTCATTTTGATTGAAAAAAAAAGTTTTAACTCTTAGATAAATCTAGTTCGAAAAAACTTAGATTTATGAACATTTCATTGCGATACTTTTGAATTCCAGTCTATAAAGAGGAAACTTAAGAAAAAATCATCCACTGAAAACCATGCGTTTGCCGGGAGTCGAACCCGGGTCTATTGCTTGGAAGGCAATTATCCTAACCGTTGGACTACAAACGCTGATGCTTATAATTGGGCGCAAATTTATATTAACGTAAAACGGTTTTTTTTCACTTCACACAGTTCCTGTTTCAAATATTTTCAAATGTTGTATAAAATTATTTTACGTTTCGCGTTTCTTATCTTTGAGAAATATTTCTAAAATGGTTTCGATACAACACAATCTAGATTTCTTTTTTAAAAATTTGTTGTTTTATTTTCAATTTTTAAAAATATAAATATAAATAATATTTTATCTAATGCATAATAAATAATAAAGAGATTAAATATAACCTAATATGTTTGAATATTTTATTTTAAAAACTAATTTTTTAGGTGAAACTTTGATTTTTTTTTTAATTTGAAATTTGTGATAACAAGAAATAATAAACAATTATCAAATACATTTTTGTTATTTTTAATAAAAAAATAAAGAAAATCCATAAACAGTTACCAAATCTTTTTTTTTTCTTTTTTCTTTTGCAGAGGGGAGACAAGAAATCTAAAATTTCCTGAGACTATATAAAATAAAATGGATTCTACCTTGCATAAATACAACCATGAGAAAGCACATGTGATTGAACGGGCAGGTAAAACTTCAAATTTCATTAATAATTTGTATTTCTTCTAAATCTTTAGTTCTCATTAAATATAGCAAAGCAATGACTCATAAGATATATTTTTATTTATTACGACCGTGTTGGGCCAAAGCGAGTTTAGCTCAGGGTAATTGGCATATACCTCCAATCATGAGGTTGTTGGCTAGATGAGGGGAAATTCATGAGTATATAAGTAAAAACAACAATTTTTGTTTTGTTTAATATGACGTCTTTAAGGTGAAACCAAGAATAAAAACCTAAAGCGGACAATACAACGTTCTAGAGATATGAAGATATCCATTATGTGTAACAAAGTGAAAATTCTTTCTAAGAAAATGTCTTTTACATGACGTCAATACCAATTATTAATTGGAGCATAGCTTAACCGTTAAAATATTGATTACCAACCCTAAGATGGATGATTTGGTCCCTACCCTACACGTTGAACCTATCCCATTCCAATTTTCCTTTAATCAAATAATTTCATTCCACAGAAAAAGCCCAATTCCACTCTTTAATGATTGTTCCGTTGTACTTTTATGTGGGCCTTAAAGCTGGTCCAGCCCAAACTGTATCCACATTTCTTAGCCCATTAAATAGTCAATCTCTCACTCTCACTGAGGTGGATTAGTATATATATATTAAAATTTTCAAAATAAAGGGAACGAAGAGTACGGATGAAATACCCATGTCTAATCGTAGCTCTAGGTTCCATCTCAAATCTAATTGACAATAAGAAAAATAGTCCATGTCTATTATATTATAAACGTATGCAATGTCTCATTTCCGAGATTCTTAACAGTATGAAGTTAAATAATTACTTGCTTCCAAGAAAACTTTAATTCAAACGCACTAAAAATTATGTGAATTTCACCTTCGTATTCCTAAATTCGACAAATTCAAATTAACAAACCAAACACCTACCATCACAATTAAAAAAAGTTGATATATACACAAAAWWMAAWWMMAKTAATWTATGTTCATTAATGCTCTGTGAAGACACCGACAAATTTGAAGAGGCAAATGCAATCACGTTCTTAAAATTTTATTTTATTTTTTGAAAATGCGTGCATTGCATGATGTAGTTTTTACTTTTAAATTAAAATATCTGAAGAACGTAATGTCTTAGAAAATATTAATAGAGTATCTAGGCTGAGCATCTCTTTGCTTCACTTCTCTCTACTGGAAGAAAGGACCCATCATATTTTAATTAATTACAATTAAATTAAACGGTGCGATTATCAAAATCTTCTGGTTCTAACAACTAATTAAAATATATATGTGTACATATATTTTTGAAATAAATAATATTTGATTTGAATATTTTAAATTGGTACGTGGACGATATTATATTATTATGGGAGGGTGTCTAGCGTAGACCGATTTTTAATTTTTACGATAAAGAATAGTTCAAATTCGAATATTTGTAGGATTAATAGTCCATTCTTTAAAGTTTAAAGAAAGTTAGATCCAAAGGAGGGGGAAAAAAGTCAATAGGAAAAAAAGTAGGACAGCCTGGCCTGTTGCAACTGCTGAAAGAGTGGGGAAGAAACTGAATTTTTTTTTTTCATTTATATAAAAAGATATTATATATCAAATTGGCAGCTTTGTTTTTAATAATTTTTATATTAAGATATGGAGAGTTGATGGGAAACAATGCTACAGATTTGTAGCATAAATAGAGCCAATTTTTGTTGGCTTTCAGCGAAGAAGCTAGTTTACTAGTCTATGAATTTTGGATCTTTTCAATTCAATCAACTTTAATTTTATAAAATATATAATAAATTGAGATGATATTTTTTTTATTTTGAAAGTTGTTGGAAAATAATATGTGAAGACGTATGAGCGAATTTTTTGAACTCTAGTAAGGAATCAAGCAGCGTAGCGTACGGCATGACATATCCCCTTGAAATAGTTTGCATAATAATGGAGGGAGAAATTAGTATTTTTCTAATTTGTCTTCATGTAAATATAAATTATAAAATGAATTTATAATATAAATAATTTGGGCCGTCACTGGTATGATATGAAAGCCCGAATACTTTTGCTTCCCCAACCCCACGCAAACCCTTCACCATTCGTCTCTATTATTGTCTTTTAAGTCAAATTACCAATTTGGTCCCATGCTATTGTATAGCTTTACCTTCAATTTGATCTTCACATTTTTACAAGTTTCGTCTCTAAGTTTTAATATTGTTATTGTGGTTTGGTTAAAGTTTATGTGTTGTTGCTAAACTAATTTTTACCCACTAAAAAATTCACCTCCACACGACCAACATGATAGAGTTCCAACTCCACACGACCAACATGACCATCTCTGATAGGAATAACAATAGTTCGACACGTTCAACTACCGATCGGATATGCTGTCGGACAACCAAATCTATAAATAGGGAGCTCMACTCTACAGTCATGTATCTGATTCTATCTTGGTCTTAACATTTTGGTCGAACTCCTTAATTACTGACTTGAGTGTCAGAGTGTTTGTCTCCTCATGCACAAGATCTTCCATCTCGCTCTAGTCTATTAACTCGCTCATTTGGTCCATCTCAATTGGATGGCCCGAGACCATACTTTGCTATACAAAAAGTATGTTGATTCTGATCCTTGAACAATTACTACATATGCCTTCGTTCCTAAATTTTGGTTAGACCTGTCCACATAAACTTAAGTATAATGTATTCTGACATTAATGTTAGAACTAGAGTGAAAGCTAAAACCTATGCACTAAATTGGTAATTTAACATCATTTTCTAAAGTATTAATTTATTTTCTTATATATGCAAAAAGTCTCCTCCCAAGTCCCCAAATTCCCACTTTTCTCTGACCCTCCTCTGTCTTCCCCTGTTCTTCTCCGGCACCGCCACCGCCACCGCCGCCGAGCCTCCTTCGTTCTCCGGCAGCAATGGGGAAAGGCGGCGCTCTAAGCGAGAGCGTGGTGAAGAAAATCCTGCTCTCCTACGCGTACGTGGGGATATGGATCTTCCTCAGCTTCACAGTCATCGTCTACAACAAATTCATCCTCGACAAAAAGATGTACAATTGGCCATTCCCGATCTCCCTCACCATGATCCACATGGCCTTCTGCGCCTCCCTCGCCTTCCTCATCATCCGCGTCTTCAAGCTCGTGGAGCCCGTTTCCATGTCCCGCGACCTCTACATCTCCTCTGTTCTCCCCATCGGCGCCCTCTACGCCTTCTCCCTCTGGCTCTCCAATTCCGCCTACATCTTCCTCTCCGTCTCCTTCATCCAGATGCTCAAGGCCCTCATGCCCGTTGCTGTCTACTCCATCGGCGTCCTCTTCAAAAAAGAGCCCTTCAAATCCAACACTCTGTTCAA